TTTAAAATTCAGCATCCACTGATTTTTTTTTTTTTTTCCCCCCATCAGTGAAAACATAACATAGATTAAATTGTTGTCACTAAAAATGTACAAGATAATTCACTGTAATCATTAAAAAAAATACAATGTGATGCATTGTATATGAGTTTTTCTTAGTAAACATAGTGAAACCTGTTTGAGGTAAACTGGAATGTTATGAAATGTGGCATGTAATTGTCAGAAAATCCCAAATTTGTTCTGTTTATAAATGGTTGTGGAGAACTCCTTCTGAAATGTTTTTATATGCTTTAAACAAAAAAAAATCTCCACCCCTTTGCCCCCTTCCACCTCCCTACCCCACCTAAAAAAATAATTTGATTATAAGATTTCTGCAAGGAGAATGTTTACTGACCTGTTTCAGGACTATGAATACAAGTGGTAAAAATCTACAATTGTTGGAGAATATAATGGTAAAATCCTTAGTAGAATGCAGTATATTTTTTTTCCCAAAATATACTCTGCTAAGCTTTTGATTAATAGAAAAAAAGAATTACACATTAATTTGCTTTACGAGTGTAGATGGCAAATTCCGAACCCAAAGTTACAGTAAGTTTAGTTACATACATCATCTCAGCCTTATGGTATTTTTGGCTCGACTCAGAGATTTGCAAGTATCTAATAATTGCCCTTTTCACTTTACAGCACTTTCATGAGCTTAACTAAATCCATATTTTCACGTGTACCTTCCTTCCCCTCCTCCCCACCGGCTCAAATAAGATGGGGAGAAGGCAGAATAAAGGGGGGAAAAGATTTTTTCCAGCGTTATGGCTGCATGCAGTAGACCCACAGCCTAATTTTTCAACTCACTCGCCCTCTCTTGCTAGCCAGAAGCTACAGTTTTAACCTTTTCATACCTGAATTGTCAGCAGTTCTTGGCTGCTCAACTGTAGCTGCTGCTGCTGCTGAAGACTGGACTTCATGGGTGAATCTAGAATTTTGAAAAGAGGTAAAACAGTCTTCAGGGCTATGAAATAGGTGCAGTTAACATAGCAAAACTGCTGAAAAAAGATGGCTTAATTAAGAGAGGGTTGTTAACACTGCAGGATGAGGAGCAGGAACCAGATAGATCAGGATAGGCAACACCCCGCACAGGTGTCAGAGCATGGCATGCGAAGGCATTTTGCTTGGCACGCATGCTTGGGAGCAGACGGACAAGAAGGGGCCAGAGCTGTGCTGCCACAACAAGGATCAGACCCCTCACAGCTCCCCTACTGTCCACCTCTGGCACGTCAATATCTTAAAAGTCAAGGTTACAGGAGTTTTTGACACTTCCTAAAAATGTTGTCGACACGTGAGGTAGATTATAATGAACCATTAAGTCAATTGATCCCCTCCACCCTGCCTAAATAGAAATGCTACTGCTACTGCTGGACCGTTGATTTTAAAACTTTGGATGGAGCAGGAATCAAAGAAGGGTTTGACTTGA